TCTTTCTCTACAATTTGGAGTTAGTTTGCAATGGGAGAAGAAGGTGAAAGCAGCAAATCGATGGCGAGTACAATACAAGTTGGTTTTCAGAACACCAAGATTAGTGTGGTGAAATATGACGGCAAAATCAACTTTGGTTTGTGGATGAGTGGTTTTCAGAACACCAAGATTAGTGTGGTGAAATATGACGGCAAAATCAACTTTGGTTTGTGGATGAGCGACGTAAAGGATGCGCTCAATGCTCAGAATTTGAAAGAGACCATCATGGTCCACGAGAGGCCACCTAAATATGATGAGGCGATATGGGAGAAGATGAATAGGAACGCTTGTGGGGTGATCAGGTCCTGTTTGGAACAGGAACTGAAATATGATGTGATTGGGGTGACGTCTGCAATGAAGATGTGGGAAATTCTCAACAATAAGTACCTTACGAAGAGTGTTGAGAACCGATTGCACTTGCTGCGTAGGTTATTCAGATTCCAGATGTCCAGAGGCACCTCGCTTGCGGCTCATGTGAACAACTATACGAAGTTGTTGTCGGACTTGGCGAATGTTGATGAGAAGATATCGGATGAGTACAAGGCGATTATTTTGTTGGGCTCCTTACCGGATGAGGAGTATGATACCTTCGTGCTCACTTTGTTGAACGGGAGATCTTCTATCAGCTATAGTGAAGTGACTAACGCATTGACCAATTACGATTTGAGGACGAAGGACAATGAGACTTCCCGCGCTAGTACTTCAGGCGAGGCCTTGTCGACGAGAGGTAGAAGCCCATATCCGAAAGGTGTTAATAGAGGAAGGTCAAAGTCAAGAAGCCACCACCAATTAGCAAAGAACCAATGTGCATTCTGCAAGGAGCAGGGACATTGGAAGAGAGACTGCCCGAAGCTCAAGGAGAAAGAGAATGGCAAGAAAAGGGCCCGAAGGCCAATGAGGTGAATATTACGAAAGGCGATGATTCCGATGATTCGTGCTTTTCTCTACTGATTACTCCGGAGGTGAACCATGTGGATGCATCAGATTGGATGCTTGATTCCGGCGCTACTTTTCATGTGACCCCTAGGCGAGACTGGTTTGCATCTTTTGAGAAAGTCGACGGGGGCGTTGTTGTCATGGGAAATGATCAATCCTGTGGCGTTTGTGGGATAGGTACCGTGCAGATTAGGATGCACGATGGAGTAGTCTGTGAGTTGAAGGAGGTGAGATTTGTTCCTCAACTGAAGAAAAATCTTATCTCAGTTGGAGCTTTGGAGGCGAAGGGATTCAAGGTGACTTTCGAAAACGCTGTAGCGAAGGTTACTAAGGGATCATTGGTGATGATGAGGGGTATCCGCAATCGAAATTTGTATTATCTGAAGGGAAGCACCGAGATAGGCCAGGTTGCTTCGGTTATTTCAGAAGCGGACATGAGCAGACTTTGGCACTATAGATTGGGGCATACATGTGAAAAGTCACTGCAGGCATTGTGCAAGCAGGGGCTATTGAAGGGAGCCAAGATTGGGAAGATTGAGTTCTGTGAGTATTGTGTTCTTGGTAAGAAGACAAAGGTGAAGTTCGGGACTGCCATTCATCAGACGAGGGGCATCCTGGACTACGTGCACACAGACGTTTGGGGTCCCACCAAGACTGCATCACTTGGTGGTAGACATTGGTTCGTCACTTTTGTAGATGACTATTCTATGTGATGTTGGGTGTACACCATGACGAAGAAGAGTGAAGTCCTAGATTTGTTTGTGGAGTGGAAGAAGAGATTGGAACTGCAGACTGGGAGAAAGATCAAGACGTTGCGATCCGACAACGGTGGTGAGTATACTTCAGACCCCTTTTTGCAGCTATGTCGAGACGAGGGCATAGAGAGACACTTCACGGTTAGTCATACACCGCAGTAGAATGGGGTGGCAGAGAGATTGAATCGGTCTTTACTGGAGAAGATCCGATGCTTATTGTCGCATAGTGGTTTGGAGAAGATCTTTTGGGCTGAGGTACTTACATATGCGAGCCACCTCATTAATAGGCTGTCTTCATCTGCGATTGAGGGGGAAACCCCTATGGAGATGTGGTCAGGAAAGCCAGCACATGACTATGACCAGCTCAAGGTATTTGGGTGCCCTGCATATTATCATGTTAAAACTGATAAATTAGAACCTCGAGCTAGGAATGCCATATTTGTAGGATTCAAGCGTGGTGTCAAGGGATACAAGCTTTGAGATCCAGTTGATAAGAAGATTGTGCTGAGTAGGGACGTCACGTTTGATGAAGCTTCTATCTTGAAGCTTCCCAGCTCTCATCAGGTGGAGAGCGACCCGACAGAGGAGATATCACAGGTGGTGGAGATCGATGCAGCTCCACATTGTCCAGATGGTACAGTATCCATGCAGGTGCCAACTGAAGTGACGCCAGGCGAGCACGACGGTGACACAGAGGATACGAGTACAAATGTGCAGGATCAGGAACCGACGGTTCAGGTTCAGGATTCAATTGCGGCTCGGAGACAGAGGAGAAACATACAGATGCCAGCACGGTATGTCGACACAGTTGCGTATGCACTTCCGGTGGAGAGTATCGATGAGTTGGTACCTACTACATTCAGAGAGGCCGAGCAGAGTTCGGAGGCTGATTCGTGGCAGGTGGCTATGCAGGAGGAGATGGAATCTCTTCATAAGAACGATACATGGGAGCTTGTTGAACTTCCAAAGGGGCGGAAGGCAATTGGTTGCAAGTGGGTATACACGAAAAAGGAGGGCATTGAGAGCACTCCATTGAGGTTCAAAGCTAGGTTGGTTGCGAAGGGCTATGCACAGGAGGAAGGTATTGACTATAATGAGGTTTTCTCTCCGGTGGTGAAGCACTCTTCGATTCGGATTCTGCTAGCTTTGGTGGCACAGTATGGTTTGGAGTTAGATCAGTTGGATGTGAAGACAACATTTCTTCATGGTGATCTTGATGAAGAAATATATATGACTCAGTGTAGATTGAAGAAATCGCTATACGGTTTGAAACAGTCTCCTCGACAGTGGTATAGGCGTTTTGATGGTTTTATGCTTGGTCATTCGTACACTCGGAGCCAGTTTGATCCTTGCGTATATTTTCGCAAGTTGAAAGGAGGTGCGTACATTTATTTGTTGCTCTATGTCGATGACATGTTGGTTGCCTCTATTTCCAGGTCGGCTATAGATGAATTGAAAGTTCAGCTTTCAAATGAGTTTGAGATGAAGGACTTGGGCGAGGCAAAGCGCATTTTAGGGATGGAGATTGGCAGAGACAAGAAGAAGGGAAGAATTTGTTTGACATAGGTGGCTTATTTGAAGAAGGTTCTACAGCGATTCCATGTTAGCATGGATACGAAGCCAGTTAGTGTACCTTTGGGAGTCTATTTGAAGCTTTCAGCTGGTCTTTCACCGAAGTCAGTTGAAGATCGTGAGTTAATGTTGAAGACTCCATATGCGAGTGCGGTTGGGAGCTTGATGTACGCAATGGTATGTACGAGACCGGATTTGTCACAGGCGGTAAGCATGGTTTCGAGATACATGCATGATCCAGGAGTGGGTCATTGGGACGCCGTGAAATGGATTTTGAGGTACATTCGAGGTACGCTCAATGTTGGTTTAGTTTATGAGCGGGACACTACAGGTGGACAGCTATGCATTGGCTATGTTGATTCGGATTATGCCGGGGATTTGCGTGTGCCGGTGTGTTGGAGATGCACCTTACAGTCGACGGTGGCTTTGTCTACGACGGAGGCAGAGTATATGGCAGTTACGGAGGCTGTAAAGGAGGCTATTTGGCTTCGAGGACTTTTAGAGGAACTTGATATATCGCAGAGGTCCGTCACTATTCATTGTGATAGCATGAGTGCTATCTATTTGGCGAAGAATCAGGTTTTTCATGCGAGAACAAAGCACATTGACGTTCGTTATCACTTCATTCAGGATGTTCTTGAAGATGGCGATGTGGAGATTGTGAAAGTCCACACGAAGGATAATCCGGCAGATATGCTCACTAAGGTGGTTCCGAGCAACAAGTTTGATCATTGTCGAAAATTATTGCACATTCGTGATTGTTGAGGCCGTTGGCGGCCATTTGGATGAACTAAGTTCGGCTTGATTCCTTGGGCAAGAGGATACGTAGGCAGTCTTTCAGATACAGCCAGTTTGGATTAGTTGATTTTGATGGGGGTGAGATTGTTTGGACTCTCGTTCGGGTTCTTGATTTGTTGTGAATTGAGTTCGTACTGGACACAACAAGTTGGGACATTTGGATGCTTTGGTGTCGGCTCAGTTTTGGGAAAAACTTCACCGAGGTGGAGAATTGTGAACGTGGGGGGGGTTTAACATGCACTAGAATTTCCTTGAATAAAATGTGACCGTGGGGGGCAGGACCACACGTTTTCTCACGCGTTTTCTTCTTTCCGCATGAGACAGCGACCCGGCCCACCCGATTAAACCCTTATTCCGTTGATATAAATACCCAACTAAGGTTTATTTCGGAGCAGTGCTGGAGGGTAACAAAAACGCATCCGTCTTTTCTTTGTTTTTTTTATTTTGAGCAGCCCTTTATTGAGGGTTTGTGCATCCTTTTGTGAGAGATATTTGTGAGGGATTTGAGAGTTTTGTTTGAGGGTTTAGATTGAGTGATTGTAAACCCTAGTTGTATTCTCTCCCTCTAATAGTAGATCTCCCCCCTCCTTGCCCCGTGGACGTAGGCAATTTACCGAACCACGTAAAAATTGGTTGTACTGCTTTTGTGTGATTTGTAATAGCTTTTTAGGTTCCCTCGACGCGCAGTCCTAGAGCTGACGAGAGGAAGAGCAAATATCCCACTTTGATGGGATATTAGGCTTCAGATTCTTGTTCCCTTTGAGAAATAAGAATTCTTATTACGACCTGACTCTCTTGTTGTGCTGCCGAAGTGCTGCCGAAATTTCCGCTGCGCGCAACATAAAATATAGGCAAACTCAATGAATATTGATTTTGTAATTCTTGATATAATCATGGCAGAGTTACTATCCTGAGAGGCTCCACAAGGCGTTTCTAATCCATGTACCTTATCTTTTCATGAAAGTGTGGAAGATTATGTACCCATTCATCGACAAGAAGATGAAGAACAAGGTAATCTCCTAAACTTACTATTTAATTTCATAGTGTCACTATTTCCTTACATGATACGGTTCAAAAACATAATTTGTTCCATTCTTGCTACAGTTTGTGTTTGTTGATGACAAAAACCTTGAAGAAGCGCTATTGGAAGAAATTGATGAAAGCCAACTTCCAGAGATTTATGGGGGTAAAATGTCACTTATTCCTATTGGAGCTAACTGAGAACTAATTCGTATGTAACTTGGGACTCAAGTCATCACAAGAAGAACTACTGTTTTATCCTGAATTTTTGGATCCATTTCCTAATTTGTTCGTCAGTGCGTAAATTGTAATGAAATAAATGGTCATATTTGTGAACTATTTCTTTGATATCCAGCATTAAGGCATCAATTAGAATAAAGTGGTGAAAATTTGTGCTAAAATTTTATCATGGGGGCTAATGAATCCATCTTTACTTAATTTCAATGGTGTTTGTGCAAATTACGAGTAGTTGGTGGGTGTATATTTGAAGAGGAAAAGCGATTAGGCTAAATGAGTAAATGAACAAGTCAATGAGTAAACGAACAAGTCCTTTGGAGGAGTAACCGTCAGAGAGAATGGAAGTAATATATTCAACTGAAAATATTTAGTTTGCATATATTTTCAGATATTTTTGTTTAGCTGAATCTTGTTTGTTTCCATCTGAAAGCATTTTGATTAATGGAGGTTATTCAGATTGGATTGACCACTTACCTTTTGTTTTCAATAATCCAATTATTTATGAATACTAGATTTTATACACGTACAATGCACGTGGTTTAATACCATGATTAACTATTTTTAGCTTACTTTATAAGTAAAATTTGTTCCACAGTTTCACTTTAATAGTTTGTGCTCATTTTTGTCTCTAAACTTTTATATCACGATTTTTTTTATGTTTGCTTACATGGGCTACACCCAATTTAAATTTTCATGTTGATCTTTGAATTGACAAAAAACAAATATAATTTGAAGCTAATTTGAATTTTTATATTATTTTGACCGATATGAAATCAAGTTTTACTTGAGAAAGTATAATAAGTAAAAATATTAAAACAATGTTAGGTGAATATTTAAAACTAATAAGACAAAATGATTGACTAAAAGTATGCTACAACGATATATAAGAAAATATGAAGTTTGTTCCTAATTATTGATAGACTTCATAAAAAATTATAAATTAAAGATTAATATTAACTCTATTATACTTTTATATGATAAAAGTATTCACATAAGCATATAAAAATACTAAAAAAATTCATGAAACTCCATTCTAAAGATTCCTAATTTCACTCAAAATAATTAAACTATTTTATAATATATTTAGAAAATATTATCTTTTATTCCTTCTGTTTTATTTTTTATTGAGCTAAGATCAATCCTTCTTCACCTTTTTATTTTTCCCGGACAATTCTCGTGTCTTCATCATCTACATCGATTGTGATATCAAGTTGGAATTATATGTTTATTTTGTTATCTTTTTTGGGCTCATTAATCTTTTATCTTCTTGTTTAACTTTACAAAGAAGTCAAATGTATTTTTGATGTTCAACACAAACTGCTTAAAATATAGACTTTGATTTTTTTTTTATTTCAATGAGAATAAATGTTAATTCTATATATATGAAATTGTTTGTTACTTTATTACTTAAATAAGATTAGAAGCTACCTTATTTTTCTACAATGAACTTTTCTGATATGCATCCAAAAAGAGTTTCTATTATGTCAATAATATTACATTTGCTCTATCCCTCTCATTTTTCACAAAAATCTAAACTAAATACTTGCATTTTTCATTACTAATTTGCCTTAAATTGTAATACTAATACTTAATTTCTTTAGTATTTGAAGAACAAAATATGAAATTTATGAATACTTACTAATTTTTTTATATCTTCTATGGAGACTTCTTCTTTGATTGAGATAAAGTTGTTAAATTATTTTTTAACGCAACACAGTTAGTGCTTCTTTAATAGATATGCTTTATGTTAATGCTAATTCAAGTGATTTGTGGATATTTTCTGAATTTTAAATTTATTTTCGTTATTTCTCATTTGCAATGGAAATAGCTTAATTCTTTTGAAGGGTATCTATGAACATTCTGATAGTTCCTCTATATGTAATTCCTTGTATTCTTTTACCCTATAAATATTATTAAAATCAGAAATTAATAGTTCTAAATTATAATTAATTAATGCTAAGCTATTATATTATAATATTTTATTATTTTTATGGATTTAAATATTTATCAATTAATGTTACTAATGTATTTTGCTGCTCCAACCTATTAGTAAAATTATATGCAGTTACTTTAATTTATATAGTAGTGATAATTTTAAGCTATAATATTTTTAAAAATTTATATTCCTTAGTCGGATGTTTTTAATCAAGTTTTATTGCTTTTGTTTACTAATATTAACTTATACTTTTTTTAGATGCTGAAAAAGAATAGTAAACCTTAAATTAGAAATTACAAACACACACACACACACACACACACACATCTTAATGAAAAAAATACCAAACAACTACACTTTTCTTTGCTAATTTTTAAAATTCCAGCCCTTTTTTATAGTTTTGAATTTTGATGGTGTGATTTGTAGTTTTTAAAACTTTGGGAGAGTTTTTTCAAAAATATTATTTTAAGTTTAGTAGTTGTAACTTCTATGTTTCATATGTTGGTGGTAATTTTTTTAAATGTCAGGATATTTCATACAACTCTAAAATTTTAAGGGTGCCTTTTGTAATTATTAAAACTATAGATTAATTTTGGAAAAATTTAAATTTTAGCGGTCTACCAATAGATTCTAGATTTGATGTGTACTTGTTATAAATTTTAAAATTTTAGAGTTTTTTATAATTTTTAAAGTTTGAAGGAATTTTTTATAATTTTTGTAACTTTGAGGTTAATTTCGGTAAATTTTAAATTTTTAGATGTCTGAGGGTAGTATCTTGAATTTATCTTTTGTTGTCTGTAAATTTTAGAATTTTAGGATGATTTTTTATAATTTAAACTTTTGAGGGTGTTTCTATAATTTTTGAGATATTGAGGTGTTAATTGAAATTTTAAAATTCGTCAGAGGCTACTGTTAATTTCTTAATTTCATGTTTGTTGTTTTAAGTTTTAAAATGTCAGAATTTTTTGGGTGCATCATGATAATCCCTTGAATTCATCTATGTTGTTTATAAGTTTTGAAATTTTAGAATTTTAGGTGCTTGTTTATGAACTTTTGAGGGTGTTTTTATAATTTTAAGTTTTGAGACATCACAATGGTTTTTATAATTTAAACTTTTCAGGATATTTTGTGCAATTTTAAAACTTTTTAGGATTTTTTGCAATACTTCATGTATTATAGTATGTTAGCTACGTATAATTTCTTTATCTTAACAAACTAATAGCAATACTTCATGTATTATAGTATGTTAGCTACGTATAATTTCTTTATCTTAACAAACTAATACCATAAAGATGTTTTATATATTTTATTAATATTATTTTTTAAATTGTTAAGGTATAGATAGTTCACGTGGGATTAGGATAGGATGTAATTATGATTAGGATAGATTAAGATATATATGAAATATTCAAAATAATAAAGGGTAATATTGACCATTAAAAGATCTCCTAAACTTGTGCTTTTAAAGAAAGTATGATATATTAGGTCATGCAATATAAACATAAGGGAGCTCTTCACTTTCTTAAGATATGATTTAATATAATCGTGGTATCTCAAACAAGTAGTATGACTAACCCTTTCAAAAGCAAACCATTTAAATAACTTCAATAGAGATCTTTACTAAAAGAAAACTTCACCAGCAATTTAGTATTTGTTTAGCTTAAACGCGCTTAATTACCCTATAGCTTCCCCTACTTTGCACTTGTTATATCCTAAAGATATTAGAACTTGCACATGTACACCATCATTTGTTTTTGGCAGCACTTATATACCACAAAGTTTATAGAACTTGCACTTTATCACCCTAAAGTTTTTGAAAATGTCACTTAAAACCCTTAAAGTTTTTAAAACTTGCACTTGAATACCCTAAAGTTTGCATAACTAAGGGTATTTAAGTAAATTTTAGGGTATTTAAGTGCAAGTGCTTTTAAACTTTAGGGTATATAAAGCGATCGACAACAAGTGAGAATATCTGCAAGTTTTAAAAACTTTAAGGTATGTAAGTACTGCCAAAACTTTAGGGTATATAGTTTGATAGTTGTCTTAACATGTGAAACCATTGAACACGCATGGACATATAATTTAACCGAGCCTAATGGAGATTATGATTGATAAACGATTGGATGTCGGCCCCTGATGATACTGGGCTAGTGAACAATTAAAATATTAGGAGAAATTTTCAAAATAGACTAGATGTCGGCCCCTGATGATACTGGGCTAGTGAACAATTAAAATATTAGGAGAAATTTTCAAAATAGACTCATTTACAATTTTATTCTCCAAAATCAACGTGAACAATTAAAATATTAGGAGAAATTTTCAAAATAGACTCATTTACAATTTTATTCTCCAAAATCAACTCATTTTAAATTTATTTACAAAAATCGACCTAGTTTCGACACATCAACAGTGTAGGTTAACACTGGGTTGATTTAAAAAAACACTTCTTTTTAATTAGTCGGTATTGCCAACCCCGACTAATTAGATGCTAGTTCAATTACATGTCTTAGTAGTGGGGGCTACAATTGCAGTTCAAAACAGTCATGCTGGCCAACCCCAACTATTTAGAAGGTTAATTAACTAGGTTACTAATTAGTCGGTGTTGCCAACCCTGACTAATTAGAAAGAAATCTTTTGACCTAGTTAAATTTGGGTCGATTTTTGTGAATATATTTGAAATTGGTCGATTTTGGTGAATAAAGTTATAAATGGGTCTGCTATGAAAACTTCTCCAAAATATTATGCTGGGACTTAAGACTGTAATTTAATTGAGTCTAATGGAGATTATTGAATTTGGTTTTTCTGAACATGGGTTTGATCAATCTAAGAGCTTCTCCAACCGTCCCCTATAACTCCATTTTGCAGCACATATCAAATCCAACCGAACGACATATTTTGGAGGTGAGCTGCATTTTTGGATTCGAGACTACATTTTTGGAGATTTGGATCTAAATTTGCAGCCAACTCTATATTACTATTCCTAAAAAAAGACAATGTTAACCCTCAATCTCCTTAACAACATTTAATTATTCCAATTGTGTCCCATTATTATTTTTTGTTACTTACTTAAAATCTATATATATATATATATATATATATATATATATATATATATATATTAAATATTTTTAATGAAAATAATATCATTAGAAATGTCTCGTCGATACCTTCAAAATGAG